TTTTTTTTTCCCATAAGTTTAGAACTTTGTCGTAAAGATAAATAAAAATCAGACAAAATCTTCATTACAAATAAGGCGGGAAAAAAAAAAGGAAAATGGTTACTCTCTTTATCATCACCATCTTAAATCAACAAATGCATATCGATGCATCAGAATGCAAGCCCTTCTCTGAAAATTTCCCAGAAACCGACCCGGTTTCCGCTTCGACCTTTATCTTTAACCACAATTCTACCGGTCCGAGGTGAGTAGGGATTGGTCAGAGGATAGTTTCATCTGCCTGAAGCTTTCTGACTCTGGCCTTATCGACCCGAGCCCTTCTTACAGCTTCTCAGCATATCTGTTCCATGTTGCCTGAAGGAACCACAAATGGCCCTGAATAGTGAATCTCGTGGCCTGTCGATCCATATCCGAGCTGAAACGTTATCACAACGAGGGAAAGTATCAATATCAAGAACCGCGGTAAACTTCTCTCATCTATCTTCCAAGAATCCGTAATCATCCCTCCCGTATAACTCCAATTGTTTCACGCGAAGGGAATATGTAATGAAACTAAAGTCGAAAAGAAACTTGCAAGAATCGGAAGCAACTCCATCAGGATGTAAAAGATGATTGATCCAAAGCTAATTCCGGAAAATGTAAAAGCATTTAAAGAATAACAAATCCGATGAGAATTTTACCTGCGTTGACACGGCTAATTCTGCATTGGCATCGAGAGGTGGAACTTGAGATTCCTTCATTCCTCTTCTTTCTTGGTGTTTATGGTCCTTGTTTCCTGCTGCCCCTTGCCTATCAATCACAGAGATGAATACGTTAATAAACTCAGAAGCCTTTCAAATTATTGTTTCCCCTCAAAACTGGAAACAAAACCAGATAAATTCGGATATACACCTTCTAGCTTCCTCATCATCTCGCATTCTTGCATCGAGCTCTTTGCAGGGAGGATATTTAGTCAAGCTTGAAGGGTCACATGGAAAGGGTTTAGATGCGACGAACTATAGAACAAAAAAAAAGAAGATATTTTTAAGTTAGGAAAGATTTGACCAGGAGGCAGCCAAAATCAGTACGGAACTCGCAATCATATACCTCACTCTGGAGGGCAGAGGCAGCGGTTCCACGATCATCGGGAATGTCAGAAAGAAGTGTTTTGACAAGGGCTAAAGCTGGCTCGGGAAACTCCTTAAATGTTTCGGCCACAACACGTCGATATGGTTGTTGAGGCTTGAAAATTGTAGCACGAGGCAAATTTGATTTGCTCCAGTAGTCATCGGAAGGCGAGCCACATTCTTGAAGATTTTTTGCAACTGTTCCACCACTGTTCTTCCGGGCATCCTGCATATAGTTCAGCAAGCATGCAACCTGTACTCCATAAATCTACTGCAGCACCACAGTGAGTTGCTCCGAGCAAAAGTTTGGGTGGTTGGTACTAAAGAGTAACCACATGGCTTGTCAAAGGCTGAGTTTGATCAGGATCGAAAAAACTAGCCAGGCCAAAGTCAATCTTTAGATCTGCTCGAGAACATCTTTTCTAAGCGCCTTCACATTTTCCTACTAAAGTAGCACATGATTATTCTAGACCAATAGAAACAAACACAGGTACAGATATTCTTTTGTCATGGAAAGAGATACACATCAGGAACAGAAAGATGACTACAGAAACAGGGCAAGTGCATTTATTTATGCTAGAAAATTCACAGGACAGGATAAAGTTTCACATGGGGGATCATTCTATGCAATCTACGGGAACATAAAAAATTAAGAATACCAGAAAGAGAAAGATGACAGAAATACGACACGTTTGGGATATCCGGAGATGTGGAGGAATTGATACTCAAATTTATAATCCACCAACAGTTCCTGCATTTATGATTAGATATGGCCGTATTTCTTGAACTGAAGCATATGTCACTAAGTGTGCCCACATTATGGACTCCTTAAAAGAATCGAACTAATCACGGACGATACAAGAAAGCTACGAGTCTGAAAGGCAGTTCCGATGCAAAATTCCACAGAAACAGAACATATCGCCATAAATGTTAAACTTAAATTACTTAATTAATCAAACGAACGAATCATCAGTCATGGTTAAGAACACGCCAGAAAAGAAAAACATTGCAGAATTCTTGGAGTTACAAAGTTCCATATTAAGGACAAGAGAACCAAATGCATACCTAGTTTTGAATCCTTCCTGGACAAACTACATTGATGAACAAGTCTCTATATGTTCCGCAGAACCGAATCCACGGCATTCC